TGATCCGTGTAAACAAAATCTCATGATTTTGATTGGTGATCTACATAAAAAAAAGTCACGTGGGTACAAGGCTTTAGTGGACCCCTATATTTAGGATCGTCGCTGGTATTAAATAATAATATATATATCTTCGATACAAAAATTATACATGGGTTAACACTTTTGATGCATCAAATATAAATGGATCTAATTCAACAAATTCTGACGATAAGAAAGATTCAAGCGATTCAATTTCATTGGGCGCAAAGATTGGTATTGGTATAGGTGTATTGGTTGCCCTTATTCTCATAGAAGTTGCAGGATTTTTAATCTATAAAAAAATTCGTTTTCATAATTATTGTCATTCTATACAAAATATACAGAATATACAGAGAAGAGTTTTCATAATATTTAAATCACTATCACTTTAAATGCGCACTCAAGTTCTGGATATGTAAAATACACTTTTATATTTTCTAAATGCATATTATTAAAAGTTCGGTCTCTATAAAGTGCATTTAGAAGATATGATGTATATAAGTTATTAAGTATTTTTTTTTATAATTATATACAATAAGTGATGACATTGTTACCAAAGATCTTTGCATAATTTTTTTTTAGATTACCAATATCACTATGTTCACATATCACATTGGGATGGTCGGTATACTATGTAAATCAAAACTATATATGTTGTCATATAATAAAATTTATTAATAAAGTTTTTTTAGACTAGTGATACTTTTATAATTTTTATAATAATCATTACGAATATTTAAATAGATGCACACCTTTAACGGTTCGACGGATTTTGTCAAAATTTTGCAAAGACTAGTATTACATCTCTACAAACGAAGTTACAGAGCAATTTCTTGAAAAAAGAAACTAAATTCTTTCTTGCTTTTTTTTCAAGAAAAAAACCAGTATTTTTTCATGAAAAAAACTAGTATTTTTTTCATGAAAAAAAGGCAAGAAAGTAAAAATATACAGTCAGACCTCCTATAATCACACCACATATAGTCACACCTCTATTTAAGCACCCAAATTTGTGCGGCAGACTTAAAATATAGTAAAAAATCACTTATAATCACTATTACCTTAAAATATAATTTTTAAGTCAAATTTATTAATAAAAAAACCTCCTTATAATTAATCATTGATTGGCTGAAGATCATGTGATATTAATCTGATATTTGAACTACCCCAGGCGCAAAACCTACATTTTTGATACTCCTGCGACTACTTTTTTGATACTCCTAGATGTACCCTAAAATCTATATACTTTTTTGATACACATGTGTATGACATGCACATGATCTGTCAATACGATTGTGCATTGTAGCATGATAGAAGTTTATTGAAATTCTACAGACTTTATTAAAAGCGACCCTGATACCGGTAGTATTAATATATTACATTCTAATAATTAAATATTATTAAGACTTTGTGGCTATTATAGCATTTACACACGCTTAGCTTTATTGAAATAACTGTTCAAATTGAACACAATTATTACATTATTTACGATTCAACATTATTTACGATTCAACGTTTAATGACATTTAAAACATATTGACGTGCAGGTTCAATTCGATGTGAAAGTGTTTCAGATTCACCAACTAAGTATTGAGTACTTATAGTTGACACCGACTGGTGAGTTTCAGGTGTTGCAAATTGTGGTTAAGGTGGTGGCTCATGTGTTGTAATAGGAGAGCACATTGTAGTTACTGAATATTCACTATTTTGTGAAGTTAAAATAGAGTTCTCTGGAATTGGTTCATTATGGTAGCTCTATATAAAAAAATTAAATCAAAGTTTTGAAATTAGCATTAAATAACTACTTAAATAATTTAAACAAAAATTAGTTTAATTTACTTTAATTTTGCGTTTTGCTTTTCTAATTCTTGTTGTTTTTCTTTTTTGAGCTGAAGGTGATAAATTTTCATTATTTGTATCTTTAGGTTGAATTAAACATAGAATATGGCTAGGCTTGCGTGGTTTAGCTGAAGGCTTTGGAGATGCACCATTATTTACTGATTATCATTGGTTTAACTCTAATGATCGAAATGGATCTGTACAAACATCTGATTGCATTCTAAATAAATAAAGAATTTGTGCTCCTATCATATCTAAATAGGTTAGATTAATTCTTTGTATATATGTAATCAAATTTATATTAATAACAATAAGTATTGATTTATGTATAGTACCCTTATTATAATAAAGTCGAATTATTTCCTGATATGCCTTCTTAGTAAATCCAAGGTAAATCGTATTGTTTTTTTTATCTGGAGACATAACTTGTCCCTTATGCTTAAAATAATTAACTAGCTTGTGCTTTGCTTCATGTACTATATTTGTATTTGTTTGTGCTGCTGAAAAAATTCTTGCAGCATGACAATGTTTGCAAATATTGTGAAATGGCCCATTCCATATATAATCCAAACATTGTAGACATTCACCAGTAACGATATTTGTAATATAGAACCTATCTTGCAATGCAACTTCACAATCGCTAGCTAACAGTTCCATCATTGATTGAAGATGGTGAAGGTAGGTAGTATCTTCTAATTTTATTGATTCTTCATTATAGTCTTGGTCAATAAATTCTGATTCATGATACTTTTTATCATAATAGTAGTTAGGATGGTTAGATTGTTCAACCAAACCTAGAAGAAAGTACAATCTTTCCTGATTCAAACATCAATTCATATCCGATATTACTTTTGATGATTCATTTTGCTATTATATTATATATATGAATTAATAATTATAATATATGTATTTATCGATTTATACTAGACAACTTACTTGTTCGATCGATTGTGTATTAAAATACGTAACTAAACCTGCTTCATAAGATACTTGTCCAGTTTCTTCTTTAATTAAAATTTTCCATAATAGTTTTAATCTGTAAAACCATTCAATGAATGTAATAATTGTTTGCCTGCCTGATAATTGAGACTCAATCGTGCGATTTATTCTTTCTGTATAACTATTGGTAGTTATTAAACTTGCATTATTTATATTTGAAAGCTGTCTAGCATCAATAAACTGCAATCTCCATTTATCATACATCCAATTTTTATTTAAATCTTCTATTAACTGAGATTTTTGCTTTTGAGTAAGTAAAAGCATAGTAATAAATTTCTTATAACACTCTGTCATTTTAAATGCCTTTTTTTCAGTACGACATTGACCTACTAGTTTGAATCCTAGTACAATTATATATCTTAATATATATTTAAATTAGTTTTTTATACAGTACTAAATAAAAATTAAAAAAATATACAGTCAAACCTCTATAAATGCAATGTGTACAGACCAGCCTAAAATGTGCATTTAGGGAGGTTTGCATTTAGAGAAAGCCAATCAAATTGCAGCTTTTAATATTTAATCTGCAGACTTGTATAACAAACTTAAATACTGACTT